GGGGCCCAATAGCGCTAGAGAAAGCACTGTGCGGCAATGGCTCAACAAATTTCATTCTGGAGATTTTAGCCTTGAAGATGAACCTCATAGCGGTCGACCTAAAGCAATATCTGACGAGGATTTTAGGAGGATTTTGGAGGCTGACCCATCCCAAACAGTGCGGAATAGTCAAAAGAGCTAGGCCTTGGCAAATCCACTGTTGCAGATGGTCTGGAACGCATTGGGAAGGTGAAAAACTCGACAATTGGGTGCCCCACAATCGGAGTGACCGGCAGGAATCGGCACGTCTCGAGGTTCCTTCTGCATTGCTTTTGCGCAGCAGAAACGACCTGTTTTTGGGCCGAATTGTCACCTGTGATGAAAAATGGGTCATGTATGATAACAGGAGACGTTCCGGACAGTGGTTGGATTTCGACGAACCACCGAGGTAATTTTCAAAGCCGAACCCTCACGAAAAAAAGATTCTGGTCACGGCTTGGTGGTCATCGGCTGGTGTGATCCACTATAACTTTTTATCACCAGGCCAAACCATCACAGCAGAACCCTACTGTGAAGAAATCGACGAATGTACCGAAAATTGTCAGATGCAGCCAACACTTATCAAAAGAGAGGGTCCGATTCCTTTGCATGACAACGCCCGCCCACACGTTTCACAAATCACTATCCATAAATTGAACGAATTGGAGGATGAAGTTCTACCTCACCCGCCATATTCTCCAGACCTTTCACCAACCGACTATCACCTTTTCAAACATTTTCAGAACTCCCTTGCTGGAAAATACTTCATCAATCAGGACCAGGCAAAAAAGCCTTCGTGGATTTCGTAGATTCTCGACCACCCAGTTTTTTCTTTGATGGGATTTCTCGACTGCTGTCACATTGGCAAAAGTGTGCTGATTCGAATGGTGCCTATTTCGATTAAATCCGATGATTAAAAAAGTTACGATCGTTTAAAGTGAAACACCCAAAACGCTGAGAACTTTCCGGACAACCTAATATTTAATCTCCTTCTAAAAACTGCATGTTGGTTCCCATTTTTTTGCAAGTTGCCAACCCAGTCTATTGGTTAGACGTTACATGCTCCGCAATGACATACAGAAGAGAATTAAGAGAAGAACACGAAAATTCTTGGTAAGTTACCAAAGTTACCACGTGGAACCCGAACTCAAGAAGAGAAACGACTGCAGGGAACGTTCACCATTTGTGTACATCATGATGGAATGATCGGAAACGCGTGCACGTTACATGACATCTTCTTCCATTTCCTTCACCACACTTCTTGAAAAGTCCGCTCAAGTGGTGGACCGACTTTGCAACACTGATCTAACGAATTGTAGACTTGAAGGTCCAGAATCGAAGCGCCCTTGATGGGGTGATTAGCCTGAATGGGGGTTTCACCATGGTACTAATGGCACAACTATGAAAATTCTTTATTCTAATCAATTCACGTTGTCGGTAGACAACCCTAGTTTACGGAACCCGCAAGCGCGACTATCATTCGTCCGCAAAGGATACGAAAGCAAGTAAAAATTATATACGATATAAATCAGATGGTAAAAAAACAAGTAACACTGGTAACCGTATGAGATATTCCAGAAATTGTAGAAAAGCGTCTCCTTATGAAGGTTCTCAGATAAAATATAGACACTGAAGGATATATCAGTATATACAAGGAGTAGCAGAAACGCGGGGATAATAAATGCACACATATATCAGTGAAGTTCATGACTATTTAAACGAATTTATGTGGGGAGCGGTGCCTGCTAACCAGCCGTGAAGGAAGTGATAGGCGAGATCAGATGTCCCATTTTCTGATCATTTGTAAAGAAAACAAGGGCACAATCTTCTCGTCACATGACGAAGGATTAGTGCTCAATATGACGGAAATTTTGCATCTGAAGCATGACACTTCGTCATAGCACATTGAATAGCTTTACGACGGAGTATATAAAAGAGTCCAGAAATCGTAAACGATGAGGTGTAGGGAGCCGCTAACTATAGAAAAGGTCATCATATTTAAGCATGATCGCACGCACGGGTGAAACACGGTTGCTTCTCGTATTCGTTTCCTCCACACTGACCACTACCATAGCATTTACGAACTCTTTTCCTGATTCCTTCACCACACGTTTCGCTACACGTGGACCAGTATCCCCAGCCTATAACATTCTCCATTAACCAGAATCAGAAAAGTTACAAGTGCAGTTCATGCCAGATATTCTAACACTAGCCTCCCCATGCAGCATTGCGGTTTTCGCATTCACGATCATTGCAAATAGCTGACTCCTTGTAATTTCCAGGGCAACTTCCTGAACGGCAGTAACGGGTGCGCCTCTTTACTCCTGCACCACATGTAGCTGAACACATGCTCCAGGAAGACCATGAGGCCCATTCACCGACGCGCACTTCACATGCATGTTCGTTACAAAAGGACTGATCACTGCCTGCACCATAGCATCCGGAACCAGCACAGCTTCTGGAAAGTTTGAAAATTGGCAACTGGGGAACAATTCAGAACCACAAACGAACCTGCTCCGTGACCGAATCCCTCGTCCACACAAACGACTACAATCTGACCATTCATTCCATGGGCTCCATTGTCCTGGTGACGATGAGCAGACTGCTAGGTTACAAGATCTTCTCTCATGGGCTGATCCGTCACAAGGTTCCTGATGGCGGAAAATGCATTTTATTTAGCATTTATATGATTATGAAAAACTGATGGAAACCTTATGACACCCCCGTTGACGAAGCATGGTGCCTGGCCCACAAGATGTTGAACAGGTACTCCACTCAGACCAGGATAGCCAAACACCTACTCCAGCACAAGCGCCAGCATCACAAGCCCGAACTTCGATATTTGTATCTGAATAAGTTTGTATTGGGCTAACTTATTAGCAATGGCGTCTCTTCCCCACGTCAAATTTTGTGTTAAAAAGGGAATTCGTCCCGATGTGTTCAATCTCAGCTCTCCAACTGCAAGAGCAGTTCAAGACTTGCGATATATGATCAAGGGAAGATGCTTCTTAGGAGGGGTTGAACATTGCTTGTTAGATTATTCTATGCTCTGCAAAGTGGTATGCTTGGTATGATCTATGATCCCTATTTCTGTCGATTTGTACTCGATGGAAATGGGCGTCGGATCTGTACAAATGGGAGTTTTTGAAATAATTTTGCACTTAATCTAGGCTCTCGAACTGCAAAAGCAGCTCAAAACTTGTGGTGTGTATGCTTCTCAGAAAAGGTTGAACTTCATTCAAGCGATTGAAGACAGATCCCGCATTAAGGCAATTGGTGGTCATCTCGCAATGTAAGACTTGTTCAAATCACCAGCGATGTAATTAGTTGGTGCAGAAGCTCGACGACTGATGCCGTTCGCAAGCACTCAATTTTGGCTGCTGGCTCATTTACGAAAGGGAATTGCTCCTATACAGAATCAGCTTTAGCGTTGAGGGGTTGAGTGGAGTAAGGGGATTGTATGTATTGACGGCCACTTCATAAATACTGCTTGCGCCAAAACTGAGTGCGTCTAAACGGCATCACTTGAGCTTGACATGCATTGCTCACCGCAGTCGTGAATTCAAACGCGGTTTTTGGAAGTCACATCTTGTTGCAAATTCTACTCTCGTGTTTTGGTTGTTTTCCTTCCCTTTTCTTTGCATTGGATGGGATCTAGCACAGAAAGATGCGAAAAAGCGTCTTCTTAGTCAGAGGAGAGACCACTGGCGTCTACCAACAAGTTCAGAGAGCTCGTACAATGAGGCCGTGTGACTGTCAGGAAGCGAGTTTGGGGATTCTTTTTGCTCTTTCTCTTCTTTAGGGAATCACTCATGAGCTACTGGTTGATAATTGGACACCCACTATTCGTAATGCTCGGTCGCTGGACTTGTCTTCGAGCGATGGGGATTCGGATCTTGTAAATCTGAATAGGAACTCCCATGTACCATGGGGAAGGCTGCCTGCTGAACCCATCCACCAACTTTCGAACCCCTCCCCTCGATCGTGGATGATGCTCAATCACGATGAGCGAATATTCCAAAACCTTTAATAACTTCCTGGGCATAGTTTAGATGTTTGTCTGGGATGTCGAATTGGGAATTTTTGAATCGTTCAAACCGTTTTATGCCTTCCTAAGAAACATCGCTCCTTGTACATAGCCCCTGAAGTTTCAGCTTTTGAATCAAATGGGAAAAGGCAAGTATCGAAAATGTGCAATCTATTCGGCTTCACTTTCAAAACTTGAAAACTGATGAACATAACTTTTCAAAATCAAGAGCAAAGTCTAATAGGGCAGTGAGTTCTCTTTCGAACAGTATAAAGTCATCAGTGAGACTTCCTAACTTTACGCGAAAACTTGTTCCACATGTTCGTGAAAATGTTTAGGTGGAAATTTCGAGCTGACGTGGCTAGTCCTTAAAATTGTTAGTGGTGTTATGATATATGAATAGCGAAAGTACTGTTTGGCAGCAATTACCAATAGGTAGAAAGCAGTTAGCAACTTAGAATGTTAGTCAAGACCTCTGTAAAACGTTTGACGAGTGCTGGCATGCTCATTGACCCGCTCACCAGGACAATCAAACGCAATTGAGTGTTGAGCAGTAACACATTTCCTATAGCGGGCTTGTGATCCACGGCCACACGAAACTGAACAATGGTTCCATTCGGTCCATGTAGTCCAGTGAGACCCGCTAACTGTATTAGCGGTTTGACAAACATTGTTCGAGCATTGTTCCGTTTCTGTTTCGGCACCGTCACAACGCCCTTTCACCGAACAAGATCGGGATCTGAAAGCAGTTCAATAATGCGTAATTCCTCAGCAATGCATGTTCTCACCGTTTCCTATAACCTCCACCACAAGTGACCGTACATGAAGTCCACAGGCTCCACTGCCCCCATTCTCCCTTCCACATCGATGAAGCATCCATTGGGCAAACTTCGGTTGGACATGATAAATCGCGACTAATAAGAGCATTGTTCGAGCAAGATAGAGGCTGAATATGGTTTCATTATTTGCTCTCATATCCCTTGGAGTAGGGTTTGCAACGAAACTACATGCCACGCGACGCGCGACAAAAAAGCTCTGCACTTGTGACAAATCATTCAAGTCGAGCGTGTTGCAACCATGTAAAAGACTTCGGGGGTATGATCGAATTCGGAACATTCATGGTGGTAAGTTGTTACAGGCAACTGGAAAAAAAACAGCGAAGATTTGATACCTATTACTCAAGAAAGCTGATGATATAGGAAATCCGAGAATTGCAGGCTCTAAAAGCTTAGAAATAGGATTCGCCAGTCGAACCAGACACGTCTTGCCCATTGAAGATACGCTATACACTCACCTCCGAAGATCCTGGTCTTTGCCACCGATGATGAAGCAGTGGCATAGTTCAGTCCCCAACAATTACATGGCATTCGTCGGAATTCATATGCAGGAAGCGAAGACCGGTTCAAACCAGCCAGCCATCTAGTGAAGTGCACCCCACATGGCAACATGTGCTAGGCCACAATAAGATTGCTTCGAAACCAGTACCTGCTGATGCAGATCTCTCCAACTCCCTCTTCTGGTATGCGGACTATCTATAATAGATTTGTCCTCGTCGCTTCAGATCACCTGGAGCATGGGAGGAGGAGGCTGACTTAAAAAATTGCAAAGTATCATAACAGGTATAATTCTTCCCAGCCCGTAGAGATCACCTGGAACATGAAAGCAGGAGACGGAGTAAGGAATTGCAAAGTACAGTGCTTAACGAAAGTGTGTGGACACCTCAAATTTCGACTGGAATGGGACCTTCACTATTCGATTCCTTGGTTACGGAAACCTTAGTGTATTTTCTTTGCAGCATCTTGTGGGCGACTCACACTTTTTTGCTGAAAAAAGATTTTTTCTACCAAAAGTATGTGGACACCTAAGAATTAAACTGTCTCTGAGATGGAAGTCTAGTAGCTCCTTCATGATTCTGTTTAAGTTTGTTCATTTTATCTGCAAAGCCCCTGAACGAGGTTTCTCATGGATGTCTCAGGTATAGCATCGCAAGTAGCAAATCTTGCTACCTGGAGGTGGTAAACTGCATACTGCCAGCTGTTGTGAAAGACACGCTGAGCCGTGATCTCCTGCCGTTTTCAAAATGATAACAGTCAGTAGAACTACGTGACAAATCCTCCATATCGATGCCATTGTGCAGGAACCCCTTCCTTGCCGAGAACAGCTGCTGCCGCGTTCTGCTGCTGTAGAACATGTTCCCTGCATCGCGCATTTCTCAAAAAGAGCGAAATGTGGGAGTTGGCCACGTATTCCCGACATTCTATGCTTCTGTCGGGGAGGGAGGCTTCATTTTATCGCTTTTCAAAAGCCGCAAACCACATGTACATCAGCACATCTCTCCAAAGTTGCTTTCCGAAGATATCAGGAGCTACCTATGTAGCCATTCCAAAGTCGCGAGATCCATCCGGAGCGTGCACACTGAAATTTTCCCATCCAGCAAGATTATCAAATTAGAAAATGTTCATGATACGTTGTTCGTTGTTGTTTGTCCAAAACGGTATTCGAGGCCGGCAAATTTTTTGAAGCGTTTTCTCGACCAGCACAACGATAGTTATTTGACTCAGACTATTCTTCCGTTACTCTAGGCATGTAGGGAGTCTGGTAGTTCTTCTGACTGTTATCATTTTGAAAACGTCAGGAGATCACGGCTCAGCGTGTCTTTCACAACAGCCGGCAGTGCAATGCGGTTCATCACCTCAAGGCGGCAATATTTGCTGCTTGCGACGCTGCGACGTCAGACATCCATGGGAAACCTCACTCAGGAGCAGTCGGATAAAGTGACCAAATCAGTAGAAAATCACATAAGAGCTACCAGACTTTCATCTCAGAGGTATTTTTGTTTTTTCTCAGGTATCCACATAGTTTCGGTACAAAGAATTTTTTCCAGTAATGAAAAAATGTGAAGTCGCACGCATGATGCTGCGAAGTGAAGTGCACTAAGGTTAGCGTACCCGAGGAATTGAATAGTGAGAGTCCCATTCCGTCAAAATCAAGCGTGGTCTTGTAGAGTTAGAATTTGGGGGGTCCACATACTTTCGTTACACACTGTATCATAACAAGCATAATTTTGCCTGGCCCGTAAAGATGTTTCGCGGGCAACTCGGAGAAGTGCAATCTTGTAGGGGTCTGAACGTCCTAGAACGCGCTCTATGAGTGCTTTCCTTGCTTTTGCTTTTCTTTCCATAGGCGACCCCTCACACGGTCGCTTTACTTACAGAGGGCCCCTTTCAAAACAGACCGCGCAGACTCACGCTGGCTTTGGCTGCAGGGCCCGATTCTTGTTTTTTCTTTAATCGGAGGCACCTATGGGTCACCAGAACCGTCGTCAACCTGAAACACTTACGCAAGTAGTTGCTCACGTAACTGACAGCGAGGTCGTTCAGGACATGTTGAGCTTTTTGGAGATGGTTTGTTACATGATGTAGGGGTGCATGCATCGACTACACATATGGGTTCATTTTTGCTGAGCGTTACCCGGATTGCTATGAAGGAGTAAAAAGGAATTGCTCAGTCTGGGCAATTTTGGCCATCTTATTGGGCTCTGTTCTAGCCATATCGTTGAGTATGTATACACTCGAAATCCCTGAGATGTGGTAGGCGTGGCTGCGTACTTCAACACAAACGTAGCGCTGGCTGTGCTTTTGGAAGGGATAGTTTTATTTTGATACAACTGTGGTCAATTTTCTGTCCAACATGGAACAAGATGACAGTTGCCTCACCCAGAAATATCTCACGAGTGACCCAATGTGAGCTATCTTCAGATGCCACGCCTACTCTGTGTCAGGGATAAGGAGTGTAACTCATCAGGAGTCCTTTGTCTAGGCTTGAAAAACAAGGCAAAATAAGGTCAAAAAGAAAGCACCTTACTCGGCATGTGGTTAGGCACATTGGAGTTCTCTAGTGATTGCCGCGGCCTCCCTGCACGCAGCAGGGAGGGATCAAGCTCCATGGTGACGCAATGATCACGGCGCCAAAAATAAGTGCCAGAATTAAGTCAGGGTCATCAATTGCGCCTGCATGCGAAGTTTTTACAGAAAAAAAATTTAGGCTCCTATGCTGTGAATGAATCGACCATTCTTGGATGGCTCCTTTGACCCGATTCCGACTCTCACGTCTCCGTAACCGCGTAGGTTACAGGCAAGCCCAACTGATGTGAGCTTGGCATTCTCAAATTCAGCACGACTCCAAAAAAACCCCTGTGTTAGCTCCAGGGCACCTAAATAAGCCTATCTTTCTCAACCTTTACAGTCTGGGCCTTTATGAAAGTCCTCGGTGAATAGTGTGCAGTATAAATGTAACCTTCTCCTTTCTTGTACTTTGAAGCTGTTGATTATGCTTTTATGTACCAACAAGGGAGGTGTTTCAGGTCATGGCGCGCTTTTTGGAAATGGTTTGTTGCTTGTTGTAGGGGTCCATACAAGGATCACAAAAATGGGTTTCATTTTTGCTATGCGTTTCTGGGTAGGTCAAAAACTGAGTGAAAAGAATTTGACAGGAATGGGCGGTTTTAACAATGTTAATGGGCTCCGTTCTGCTTGTAACTTCGAGCATGCATAGTTTATGAGGTGGTCACTAATTAGGCCTCAAAATAGATTCGATTAAAGTCAAAATGTAAGTATCATGTGGTAACACACTTGGCATGCACCGACGCAAGAGTGATGTTTTTGTCAGCGCTCCCTTCACGACCATTGCTGGCGGATCGGATGGCGTAGCGGATAGCACGATGGATTCTGGATGGCACGACAATGCGGGACTCGGTTCGGATCCTCATTGCGGCAACAGTTTTGCATCTGTATCAACGCAACGAGACGTGAACATTTCCGGAAACAAGGTTCTCCACACAACTGTGCTGGTTTGTAAGGTGTCATCCAGGAAAGGCCACCAGGACAACCTGGCCATTTGCAGTGAGTGCATATCATTGTACTCGTTAACACAGTGAACTCGAAACTACCTTCAAAATTTGCGGAACGATTCTCTGAGCGGAGTTATGGAGGTTTTCCCC